CTGAATGTCAACTTGCCACAGCTGATAAAAACACTCTCGATGATCCCTTGTCGGCAAACGAGTGATGGAAGTAAACAAAAATGGCTGCTGCACACACTGACGCATTCAATCAAACGCAAAAACGCAATTTGAGGCTAAAAACAAAGGAAAACAAAAGTGCACGCACCGAGAAGGCGCAGGCGCAGGGGCTACACCACTCTATATATATATTTTGTATTATATTTGTGAATGTTCGTCACTTTGGTCGCCTAAAACTTCAGAACCACTCAACGTTCAAATTTGAAAAAATAAACAGTGGTTCAGAATCATTTAAAGGGTGCACAGTTATAAGGAGTCTGAAGTCACTGTAGTTTAATTTTCAGTTTTTGATTAGTTTCGTTTAGATCTAATCTTGGGAAAGTCCCGTCTTCTAAGATGCCATTGTAAACAAGTGAGGCTTCCGTTGGGAGACTTGTCGTAAATGACAAGGAGGAAACATTCTATTTTTGCATTTAATTGCAATATTTGCAAGACTTGTCTTAAATTGGCAATACACATTTTTATATGTATGTGTTTGTAATAAATGTTTGTTAACAATTAAAAGCTGATGACATAAGCTTAATTTACAGGGGATCTTTTTTTTTTTTTTTTTTTGTACTGGTCGTGAAGTGTTGGCAGGTCTGGTTTTATACCACGGCTTGGATTGCAAGGAGTATATTAGTAAAATGTAGATTTTGTGGCTGCAATAGTCTTGATCATTCAGTTGTACATCAAAAGAAAATAAAAACCCTCAGTATTTTTTCACGTTCCATCTGTTGTCTGCCTAAACCGAAGAAAGTCCAGCAGTTGTGCTAATTTGTTTTAAATGGTAACGACTTTTGGTAATTTTGTTGTCCATACACTTCTTGGCAATGACTTAATGTTGATTATTAGTGCTGTTTAGGCTTTGTCATTTGTTCCGCCCATTTCTCAGGAATAATGGAGTAGCAATGTAACATGAGGGATGGTCTCACGGGTCAAGTACCAAGTTACGGAATCAACACACAATTTTCTTGTCACCCAGGTGGACCCCAAGAACGGAACTGTGGGCTTTGGATCTGGCCTGCACGGATGGGCTTTCACCCTGAAGGACTTTGCGAAGCTGTACGTCAGCAAGTTTGGAATTGAAGAAACTGCCTTGATGAAGAGGTTGTGGGGCAACCAGTTCTACTCTCAGAAACAGAAGAAGTGGTTCAAGGAAGAAACGCAGGGTGCAGTGAGAGGATTCACCAACTACATCTTGAAACCCATTTACGAGGTGTGATACTTAAGTGTTTTTTCATAATCATTAGTATGGAAATGAAGGGGACATGAATAAATCTTCGTAAGGTTAGTGGAAGACTTAAGAAAGTGTACAAGTAGACAGATTCTGGTTTTGTACTTACATGAATATTTTACAAGAAATCGGGTATACTATCTTCTGGATTCCTTTATCACTGATATTCTTAATATGTGCAGGTTTGCGTATGGTCAGACTTTTTTTTTTGGCTTGCCATTTTCAGTAGACAAATTGACTTATTTCTTTTTTTGTTTATAGCCGGAAATCTTTTCTCGTTTTTAAAATTAAAAAATAACAGGTTTTTATCACATTAAACACTTGTGGGTCAATTCCAAGGTGAGAGCTTAAGCATCTAACATTGGTTTTGTCTCTGATTTTGATTTCGTTGAGTAAATGATGTCCAACTCAGGTGTTTTTGGTTCTGTCTGGTATGCTGAGTCATTTAGAATTGCAAGTGTACTGGTCTATTTCTGCCCTGTCTTGTCCTTTCAGACACCGTTCCCCCCAAGCACACTTGACAGGTGTCCTCACAGTGAGCTTCTTCTGAGCTATCAATGTTAATTTACTTTCTCTTTCAGATTTTCAACAGCTGCATGAACAAGCCAAAGCCCGATGCCCTTAGTCTGGTGGAGAAACTTGGAGTGAAGCTGACTACTGAAGAGAAGGAGTTGGAAACCAAGCAACTGTTGAAGGTAATGGTCTGGCCAATTTCTCACTGTCCTTGCACCTGTGGTGTTCGTGGACGTAAATAAAAAAGATCAGATACCATGTATAGTCTCTGGAAAGCCTCCCATGTGCGCTATTTCTCGTCCTGGAACGTTAGTGGACCATATTTTGCATTTGCAAAGATTAGAAAGTGGCTGGAAATTTGCGTGATCAAACTTGAATGTGCAGTGGCCAAGATATTCAAATTTCTGAATTTATTTGACTTTAAGTTGGCGGGTGCTCTGGTGTGGTTTGCTTTTTCTTTCCTATCAAATGTCAATCGTCTTTATCTCCCCTCCTTTTTTGTTTGTTACTCTTTTGTAACACCTCTAATCTTCGGCACTTATATGACCTGATTTTGTTGCAAGTGCGGTAAAACTCTTTACTAAAACTTTGACTTTAGGGCTGTTTAGTGGATTTAGACTGTCAATGTGTTTGAAGCATGGCAGTGGGTGCTTTGGTGTGGTTTGCTTCTTCTTTCCTGTCAAAAATCCATCATCCTTATCTCCCCTCTTTCTTTTTTATGTTTGTTACTCTCTTATAACACCTCTAATCTTCTGGCGCTCATTTGACCCTATGCAGTTGCGAGCGCCGTGAAACCTTCTAAAACAAAACAACTATCGTCCTTATCTCTCCTTTTCGTGTTTGTTACTCTCGTGTAACATCTCTAATCTTCGGCACTTATACGATTTTATTGTGTTGCAATTGCGGTTAAACTCTTTAAACGAAGCATGGCAGTAAATTGTTTCTTTACACACAATGGTATGAACAAAACATTTTTGAACATGAATGAAGATTAAGTTGGAAGGAGGCAATTCTTCTATATAGTTTATTTGTTTGTTTTGTGCAGTGTGTCATGAGGAAGTGGCTGCCAGCTGGAGACGCTATGTTGCAGATGATTGTCATTCACTTGCCATCACCTGTCACTGCCCAGAGGTACAGAGCTGAGCTTCTCTATGAAGGACCTTTTGATGATGAGTGCTGTGTTGGTATGTATCAAGAATGCTTGTGATTTTTCAAGTTACTGATATCTGTAATGCCATTTATCAACATTTACTTTTTGGATAAAGATGAAAACTTTTTATTGTGCGTCTTTTTACTCAAACTGTCAAAAGAATGTTTCCCAGCAGTTGTTAATGATGGTCCCATTGCTCTTCAGCTGTGAAGCAGTGTGACCCGAAAGGACCCCTGATGATGTACATTTCCAAGATGGTACCCACCAGTGACAAGGGACGTTTCTATGCCTTTGGACGTGTGTTTGCTGGAACAGTGGCCACTGGACAGAAGGTCCGAATCATGGGACCCAACTTCATCCCTGGCAAGAAAGAGGATCTGTTCGAGAAGAACATTCAGAGGTGAGTTAAGCTTTTTCTGAAATCATTGGAGGAGACCAGTCTCATTTCTTTAAACCTCAGCTCAAATGCCCTGAGAAAAAAAAATCATATTGGCCTCATCTGTCTTTTCCTGAAATCCATTTGCTAAAGGTGTTTCTAAGCTAATCTTGGTCCCTTCCATTGCTTCTTTTGTCTTGTATTTTTTCATCACTGTGTAGCTCTTCCAGTTACGGTCTGAGGTGGGGTTTTTTTTTTTTTGTAAAGTGTTTTACGGCGCTCACAACTGCATAGATCACATGAGCGCGCTGGACACACCTAATATTTTCAGTTGGTAGGAAATTTTGAATTTTGCCCGGGTGGCGGCCGAAGCCTACTCTTATCGATTTTAGACCACCAAGGGATCTTTAACGTGCGCAACTTGCACACGGGCCCACCGAGATTTTTCGCCCTTGTCCGAGAAGGCTAGGTGTAGATCTTTCCTACCAGAAGATCAGGGGTGTGGCAGAAAGACAGCAGTAAGGGGAGCCAAGAAGTAGTAGTAGAAAGGCTGCAGAAAGAGTCAGGAGCCCAAAGGAGGTGAGGGGGTGGGGGCAGAAAGTGGAATTGAAAGCAAACAGAACATTGTTAGAGAGCAGGAAAGGAGGTGAAAAGAGATAATTTTAGAGAAGAAATTTTTTTGGTCGCTACCCGGATTCGAACCTGGGACCTTTGAATGAGAGGCCAACACCTTAACCTCTAAGCCACGAGAGGTCTGGTTTGTGTAAGAAATATAGCAGCGCAGTGGTTGCTTCTGCATGAGGCAGTTATTTTTATTCTATTTTTTTTATTATCTACGTTGCTTGGCTTTGTAAAAAGTGCTGTACGGTAGCTAAATTGACTTGTGTGTAATTGGTTGGATGTTGGGAATCATCACACGTGTTTGTTTTCCTTCCTCTTCAGAACCATCTTGATGATGGGCCGTTACGTGGAGTCAATTGAGGATGTGCCCTGCGGCAACATCTGTGGTCTGGTGGGTGTTGACCAGTACTTGGTGAAGACTGGCACCATTTCCACCCACAAGGAAGCTCACAACATGAGAGTGATGAAGTTCAGTGTGAGCCCTGTGGTGAGAGTGGCTGTGGAGTGCAAGAACCCCTCTGAGTTGCCCAAGCTGGTCGAGGGTCTCAAACGGTTGGCCAAGTCTGATCCTATGGTGCAGGTAAGCAACAACGGCAGCACGTTTTTGGTTACCACCTAACCCCACTTTTGAGGAAATGCAGGACAGGGCGCAGGTGGTGGCCTGCCGTGTTCTTGCCTGCCAAGAGTGCAAGAGCAAAAACTCTTTCCTCTCTTACATTCTCTTCATTTTCCATCAATGGCGGAATTAGCGCAATTGGCTGCTTGTCCAACAGTCACTTGTACAAATGACCTCTTGCGTTAAAAAAAAAATATATGGCCAGAGGTCTTATCTATTGTGAAAGACGACCATTTTTCTTGACGAGTGACTATTTTGAACAATTTACACTGTTTTGTTATTGTCATCAAACATTTTTCTTTGTCTTTCTTGAACACACACACACATCCCAAAGGCTAGCTTGCTTGAATCTAGATATTGTTTAAACGAAATTACTGTGCATATGGTTATGTTACAGTTTAAGGGGGAGGCATAAATGAACATGGATCAGGAGAAATTGAACATGATGGGGATTTAGATAGATTTGGTTTTTGAGTCGGGCGAAGAAAACAGATCTAGAAGTGATGAATGGACCATCCCTGACTTCTCAGAAAATAGGGATAGAGCTAGAAACACTATTTGAATTAAAACTTTTAATCTTCAGTGTGTTTTGCTCTTTATTTGATAATCTAATCATGTAATTGCTTTTGTAGACAATTTGCAATAACAATTATTAAATTTTGTACGGAATTATGCCCCTTTTGTGTGGGATTGATCAAAAGGTGGTGGAAGTCTGCAATATTGTGACTTTGTTCCTTTCTCCACTTTCGCTTCTGATTGGGTTCCCTGTCCCAATGCACTCTATAAGATTTAGGATGTACTCAGTTATGAGTGGTGTGAGGGTGCTTTGGTGAGGTTTGCTCCTTCTTTCCTATCAAACATCTATTGTCCTCGTCTCTCCTCCTTTTTTTGTGTTTGTTACTCCCACGTAACACCTCTAATCTTCAACAGTCATATGACCGTATTGTGTTGAGAGAGCAGTAAAACTCTTACGAAAACGAAAGTTATTGGTCATATTTATATATCATTTCTCTGGTTTCTCTCTTAAATTGTGTGCTTCAAATGTCTGGGTTCATGAATTACAAGCAAATACTTTGCTTATGAATTTTGTGAATACTTGATGTTATCTTTCGAAGAAATAATGGAATTGAATGTCTTCCCGTTTCTGCAGTGCATCATTGAGGAGTCGGGCGAGCACATCATTGCTGGAGCTGGTGAGTTGCATTTGGAAATTTGCCTGAAAGATTTGGAAGAGGACCATGCTGGCATCCCCATCACTGTGTCTGAGCCTGTGGTGTCCTACAGAGAAACGGTCTCTGAGCTGTCAGACATCATGTGCTTGGCCAAGTCGCCCAACAAACACAACAGACTGTTCATGAAGGCTGAACCCCTGCCAGAGGGTGTGGCTGAAGCCATTGACAAGGTAGCATGTCTTTTCTGGGAAAACAGAGACTCGTGATTTTTGTTTATTGCGTATCTTTGGCTAGTTGTCCCAACTGTTCTAAGCCCTGAATGGAACATTTTCCTGTAGAGAAAAAAAACCCCAAAAACTATCATTCAGTTGCAAATGGTACCAAATTTATGTATCTTTTCTGGTTTTTAATATTTAGAATTTGAATGTCAACAAAATGTTTCTTAAACACATGCAAGAAATCTTTACTTAAAAAGTTATGGTAAGGAAAAACAAAATTATTTTGGGCCAAGTACGTCTGAACAGCTGGCCAAGAAATGTTTTTACAAAGATTAAGAAGCGTGTTTCAGTTGAACTCAGTGTGTACAGTGTCTGATGTTTTTTTAAAAACCAATTCATTCCAGTTTGCGGTCAATTACAAGCTTATGAATCATTGGTGGAGTGAGATATGTTCTTAGGAAGTAGTGACAGACAGATTTGCTGGAAATAATGCTTCCAATCGTCTGTATTTTTGGGGAAATCCGTATTTGCCGCACGCCCCTCCCCAATAAACTCCATCTATTAAAAAAGTGAAATTGTGTAGAGGTAACGAGATTCTGAAGCAAAGGATCCATGCTCACTTTGGTATCGTCTTGTATAAGTTCCCAATATTTACAGTAATTCTCTCAGCAATAAGTTAATGTTGTAGAAACCTGTCAGATTGTGCATTATCCTGCTATGCATTCTGTGCTGATTGGCTTGTAGTAAATTTTTACCTGTAGTTTGGTCAATATCTGGGTAGCCATGATAAACTTTTTGTGCCAAATTTCCACCTTCATGGAAAATCTGCCCGTTGACCAAGTAAATTGACTTGTGATTTTAGAAATCACCATCAGAAAGAAACTTCCTAGGTCTAGGGAATCTACAGGGGCGTGATACGGGCTGAAATTTATGCTATGCCAAACTACTAAAATCAAAAATAATTCGAAGTGGTGTTCCAGGGCTGTGACATTTAGACATTAAAATGTATGGGGGGGGGGGTATCCGCTGGGAAACTATCAGCAAGATCCGTGTTTATTCATTATTACCAGATTTTCCTTCTGTCAGTTGTGTGATGACAAATTAATTGAATTATAGTAGCAATGGCAGGGGGCACCCGCTATTAACACATAACACCCTAAGGGGAAGGAACCCACCTGGAGTGAATACAAGCATTAGAAAAACACTTTAAAAAGATTCTAAACAAATTCCAAAAATCTTGAAAAAATAACAGTTAGAAAGAGAAATGAACATGGTTTAAAAAAAATACAACTTAACATATGCACAAATTGTTGGAAATGTTCTAACTGTAGCTCAGTTGGGGTGTCTGACCCGTCACTTTCACTCGCCCAAAGGCCCCCACAGGCCATTCTAATAGCACCAAATTTCTTTTCTTTTTTTTTTTTTAAACCCCACCAGGACGCTGTCCCTGGACCATGCTGGTGGGGGCTTATGCGGCCTCCAGACACGCACACACACCTGCAGAATTTTCTTTGCTTTTCAGCTTCAGCTGTGGAAGCACTGGGAAGAGGGACCAGTTATTGGCTAATTGCATACTTATAACTGATTGTAGTGTGAAAGGATTTTAAACAATGTTAATGTAGAAAATAGAAAATTAAGCCAACATATTTTTCGGAAAGTTTATTACATTAAAATATTTTGCAGATTTGAGACAAGGGCTTCACAACTATTAATACCCAATCCCAAATCCTGCCCACCACTAGTAGGATGAAGAAATGGTTTTAGTTGCCTTGCAGTGGTGGTAGATCGAACGTCTATTGTTTTCTTGTAGGATAGAACATACAATTTAAAGATGGTTTACCTTTGAAACCAAGAATGAAGATTGCTAATATTTCTTGTGGCTCCACCCTCTCAATAGGGTGACATTGCCCCAAGACAAGAGGCCAAGGAGAGGGCGAGATTCCTCAGTGACAAGTTCGGCTTTGACGTTGGTGAGGCCAGGAAGATCTGGTGCTTCGGCCCCGAGGGTACTGGACCCAACCTTCTGATTGACTGCACCAAAGCTGTCCAGTACCTGAACGAGATCAAGGACAGTGTCATTGCTGGATTCCAGTGGGCTTCAAAGGAGGTACGCCTATATGATTGTTTGTTGGTTTTGATCATTGTTGTAGAGAAATCCGACTGAAGTGTTCTGCTTTTGGTCTGAGATATCCTTAGCAATGGAAATACAGGTATGACAGGTTTAATAATATCAGTGCTCTTTAAGTGTGGATTTTTCTACCGTTTGTTCCCGTAAAGACTGGATGGTTGTCAGTTGGAGTTGGTACTTGAAAGGTGGGAATTTTTTTTGTGTTAATTTATTATGGAATTCAGTACAGCTGTTCCTGCTTCTACATATTAAGGATGTAAGTTTCAGATTACATGCCCTTCTTGTTTTGGAAAAAAAAAGGTGGGTTGATAAAATACAAGGTAAAACAATTTTTCCTAAGTCATCTTTACTGACTTAAGGGATGCTGAGTCTTGCATATAACAGGGACGCCCATCATTATGAATTTTGGGGAATAGTTACGATTTTTATTCAGTTTTAAGAAAATACAACCATTTTACCGCTGATTCTGATTTTTTAAACATTTCGGCTGCAGTACGCCGACCTACCTGGTGATAAGGTTATCAGTGTTACATTGAAGACAACTTCGATTTGAGTGGCCTTTTGTAAATAAAAAAGATGCTGAAAGTGACTCTATACTGAGTGCATGTACATGGTAGATAAACGAGTAAACTTTTAGGGAGAAGACATTGAAGTGATGGTTTACCGTGCTGTGCCTGTGCACTTGCCAAGTGACTTGCAGTGTTCAAAAGATGGCCGAACATATGATATTGTTAACCCCCCGGGAGCAATGCAACTGACATGAAGTGTCTTTAGGCCATTCCCAAAGGGGGAGACATTTCTCGTTCATGCACAGTAGAATTGTAAATGGGCTGATTCATCAATGTCACGCTCATAACTGTGCCTGATCTACAACAGGGAACTGTTGCTTTTTCTTTCCTTATCTTTACTATTGTTATTTTCCTCTACTTCTTCTGTATGTTTGTGACCTACTATTTCCGGGGTGCCTTGATAGTCGAAGCAGACTGCTGTTGAAGCTAGAGAGGTGAGCAGAGTAAGTCTGATTCCCTGTAAGGACTTCTCTGTTGACACCCACCCCTTGGCGCTCATATGACCTTATGCAGTTGCGAGTGCCGTAAAAACCTCTACTAAAACAAAAAACTGATTTTGTTATTGCAGGGTGTCCTTTGTGAAGAGAACATGAGAGGCTGCCGATTCAACATCTATGACGTGACTCTGCACGCTGACGCTATTCACCGTGGTGGCGGTCAGATCATCCCTACTGCCAGAAGAGTGCTGTATGCTGCTGCCATCACTGCTCAACCCAGGGTGTTGGAACCTGTCTACCTTGTGGAGATTCAGGTGAGCATGAAGGTTTGGTGGTGGAAAGTAAAATCCTGTCCCGTTCATCGGGAATTTGAGAATGGCAATTGTTTACTTTCTCGCGTTTAATTCTGGCCGTCCCTAGATCTAGATGAAACTGCTAGCTCCGACTTAGATTTAGATCCACCTACAAATTATGAAATTGCCGTGGTTTACGTATTCTTAACCCCAGCGCAAAGTTTTCATAGCTGCCACTTTCCCGCTAAATAGCGGAAACTCCGCTTCATCTAGCTTTTCCCGCTACTTTCCTCCGCCGGACCGCTTTCGGTCGCAAATTGCGATACTTTTTTACACGTGGAAAACACCGAACCGGGAGAGAGAGGAAAACGCAGCTTGCGCATGTCCGCCCGTAGCTTTCTACTTCCGTTCTTCTAGGCCTAGCGTTAGTTTCACATTGTTTATTGTGGAGCAACAAAGTGTCGGTCGCATCTGGCATCGGGACGTTAGCGCGCCGAGTTGTCATTGAAAACGGCGGAAATTCGAGAGAAATTGATGCAGAATGCAAAAATAAAAGGAGCTCCGCTTGCTGCACTTTGCGTTTGGTGCGATAAAGAAATCGCGGCACGCGGCACTCCTGTACAATTGCGGTCCCGTTTGTTTACATGACGGCTATTGTGGCTGTTAAAGTGAATCTAGATCTAGATAATCTGATCTCTAGATATAATCTAGATTTAGATATCTAGATTCTAGATCTAGATTAGATAGCCTAGGCTATAATTTTAATTCAGGTGAGATCTACACACTACAGAGGGACTATATACTAAGTTAAGTGCAAACGGGACTGCAGTTGTACAGGAGTGCTCAGTACAGCGGCAAAGGTGTTGCCTCCTTGATCCAATTCTGCGCGCGCTCTACATCGATGTACAAGTTTAAAGTGAAAGAAATCTTTTTATAAGACACCAGCTTGCAACAAACACTGGATTTTTAGTCACCAAGTCCAAACTGTGTCAAATTGACTCAAATGCTTGGTAGTCTACTTACTGCCTTTGTTGGGTTGTTTGTTTTTTTCAAATACGTTTTAATACAGTTGCCTATGGTTAACAAATATGACAGTTTTCCCTTCCAAAACCATAGGCTAGATTTTCCAGTATATATTTCCTCTGGATCTCACTGGTTTTACTCCGGCCTTCAGAGAGCGCGCGTCCGCCTTCGCATGAATTTCCTCCTTTTTTGAAATTCCTGAGTGGCAGCTATGAGTTTTGAATATCCAGTCGGGGACGCATGCATAGAGTTTTGTCTAGATTCTAGATCTAAGTGCGGCCTGGGTTAGACGCGAGAAAGTAAACAATTGCCTTGAGAATGTTAAATCATTGGGATCCCTTGCCAGAAAGCTGCACCCCAGGAACTTCAACACTTGTGTAGTATTTTGGGTTTTTACTTTCTTTAAAGTTAAAAATTGTACAACTGAAAACCCTAATTTTATCAGCTAACCAACTACAATATCATTCAAAATATGAAGGATGCAACACCCTTCACTTCGGAAATTAAAAATCGAAATTGATTTATTGTTGCAGAAGTAACGTCAAATTTTTTTTAAAAAGGTCACCCATTTTGAGTGTTGGTCTGAAAGTTGGACCAGAAAGGAGATGCTGAATTTTACACACGCACGCACACCCCACCCCCCAATAAATATGCTAAATATTAAATGTTTCCACTATGTGTTAAAAACATTGAGGGAGTGTGTGTTAGGATTATCAGACCTTCCACTCATCCCGATTTCGATCGCGTGTATCCCGATTTTTTGTCCCAGTCTGCTGTTGTATCGGATTTTTATTAAAACATACTCTGCGTTCTCCTTTATCACGGGAAGCACCTGTTGAACTTTTTGTCAGAAGGAACTCGGAGCACTATTTCCCGAAATATCGATGCCGCAATTAGTAGTTGACTCGCCCCAAGTTGTGTGTGATCTTTGCCCGCACTCAGAATTCTCCGATGATAGCCAGGTAACTGTTACAATTTGGGACATACAAATAATCTATAATATTCGTAGATCCGCTGCTACTTTCAAAACAAGCCTTGTCAGAGGTCTGGTAACTGCGTTCACACCAAACACTCGGACGAGCGACTGTCTTTCTAACCCTTATACAACTACATGTACATGTAACTGCGTTGACAAGACAAACATACGGCCGTTGTCGTTGCTTTAGTCTGAACGCATTATGAGGGGGGATAAGAGATTTGTTGGTACAATTGGTCGGTCGGCCCCTGTTGTTATCCAAGAGTACTAGAAGTGGAACGACTGTCGCTCATCTGAGAGTTTTGTGTGAACGCGCAGTTAGTCGGACCCGTTAATAAAATTGTTTCAATCGTGCATTCGTGTCACATGACATTGCATCGCCGTGTGAGTTCTGCGTGTCGGGGACCGTCCGTTGTCGGGGTCAACTTAAGTTCATGTATTTCGGGACTTATTGGTTGGGGTGGGGAGTGGGGTATAGACGCATGGACTAGGAGTGCTTGACGTGATGCATCAGGATTTACAAAAAATAATAACGCGCGCGCACGCAAACAAACACACACTCAGAGGGCATATAGGCCAAGTAATTTATGGATACCTCTGGAAAATTCTAAGTCAGCTTTGGCAGTCACCTTGGTGATTTGCTGTTGATCCCGATTTTTTTCACCAATTCCCGATTTTTTCTCTCTGAGATCCTGATTTTGAGGTTTCATAGAGTGGCAGGTCTGGATTATTCACTAATAGAAAACTATACATATGTTAATATCACATAGCCGTAACAGCAGCAGGTCTTCCTTACCCATGAGTGCTTGCTCAAAATTCCAAGATGACACAGTATAATTCCGAAGTGGGAACCCATTAATCCACACAAGAATGTGCACAATATTACAATGATTTTTTTTTTAAACTTTAAAAATGCCCACTGGTCTTTCTTCCCCACTGAATATGAATTTGGCTCAACGGTGTATTAGACAAATTATCTCTGCGCCACAGGTGAAGTAAAGGGTTCATTTACGAGTATTAACCCTTAAAGCGCTGACTTCTTTCCCCTTATATTTTCCCTCTGTGCTGAATTTATTTTGGAAAAAGGCCAGATTTGCACATACGCTTTTTTTTGCTATTAACTTTTTTATTTGTCAAAGTTTCTAATGAAGGTAAGAATAAAAGTTTTAGAATATTGAAAGTTCTTTATGAATATGTGAAGCAAAAAGTATTTTGTGAAGTTATTGTTGTAGTTGTGGTGTTGGAAATGACTGAATAAAAACTGACGGTTCATTAGATCTCTAGATCTAGACCTGACTCTAGATGCTTCGTAGGCCTACGTTATATTCCACAAAGTGTTAGCTCTAGCATCAGAACCCTCGAAATCATCTTCCGATTCAAGGAAAATACGCGGAACATCTGAATCTGATGCGACACTATTTTCATGTTTGTCGCGGGTCACAATCGCAAATTTTCTAACTTTACTGTTACTCGACTTCATCGTGAAACAAAAAACTCCTCGCGCCTCGATCGAAACCCGTGACAAGAAAAATGGCGAACGAAATCAATTCTGCGTAGCCTACCAGCCAGCAGTATAAAAATTAGTACTTCGTTCTTTTCATATATCGCGTTATACTATGCCAATGTCTATCGCTACTGGCTGTCGCGATCAGCACTCTAAGGGTTAACAGTAAACCGCTCGTTACTTGCAGACCCTGAACAGCAAGCCTGGCCCAACAACGTAGGAGCTGCTCTGGCAATATCAGTAAACAGTGGTTTCACTCTTCCGTGTTTTTACGGAAATCCGTACTTTCTGCCAGTTCCGTACTTGTTCCTCCATCACTATCAACTCCCTCCGTAAAAAAACAAAAAACTGCGACAGCGTAGGACTGCCGAAATTCCGTTGCAAAATATCCGTACTCGCCTTGGTATCGTCTTGTATAAGTTACGGATATTTACGGTTATTCTCTCGGCAACAAGTTAATGTTATAGAAACCTGCGAGATTGCAATTGGCCATTATTCCGCTATGCCCCGTGCGTTCATTGCGGGTTGGTCGGCAGTACATTCTTTACCTGCAGATGGATCAAAGTCTGGCGAACTTTTTGTGCTAATTTCCTCTTTTCTATCATTCACTCGTTCCTTCTGTCTATCTTCGGATTGTTGCCGCGGCTGGAAAATCTGCGCGTTGATCAAGTAAACTGACTTGTGATCTTAGACAGAAATTTACTGCCAGAAAGAAACTTTTTAGTTGTTGCAAATTTGTCTAGATCTAGAGAGGTTATCAATGCGAGGATTCTACGCCAACTGAACGCGACAAATGGGCCGCGATGAAAGAAATTTATATACCTAGACTACTAAAAATCAAGAATAATTCAAAGTGGTGTTGCGAGGTTGTGACATGCGACATTCAGACGTGAAAATTGAAGAAAAATTAGGTATGCTGGGCAACTGTATTGTGAAGGTACCAAGGAGCTTAAAACAAGTAAGCTCCTTGGAAGGTAACATATCTATTCATTATTCCCAGGTTTGCCTTCTATCAATGGTGCGACGACCAATTGATTGAATTATAGTAGCAATGAAAGGGGAACCTGCTTTTACACATTGCCAGCAATGGAAAGATATGTAGGTGAAGAAATCAAACAAGATAAAAAAATGTTGGTGAAAAAATAAACGTTATGGGTTGTAGGCAATCTCTTCAAACAGACTCCCAAATGCCATTTTCAACCCTCTAAAAGCATTAAATTTCAATTTCTACGGGGGCGAACGGAACCCCCACCAGGACGCTGTCCCTGGACCGTGCTTGGGGCCTGGTAGAATTTTCCTTACTTTTCACCTTCGGCTTGTGGAAGCACTGAGTTAAATACTCTTGAAACAACAGTGGGTCAAATATGCAGATGGGTTTGAGCAGAAACTGATATCTCTTGTCCCTACCAGTTGGCCAAAATGGCCCAATAATGTTTGTATAGTTTGTGGAATAGAATGTTCTTAGATATAAGTCGGAAACTAAACCAGTTTTACCAAGGACAAAATTTGTTCTTTCTTTTTGCACCCGTTGAATTAGGAAAAGCAATGTTTCTATTTATTGGTGTGCAGTGTGTATGTCACTATTTAAAAATTTGGCCACTTAACAAGAATTTTTTTCCACCCGCTCTCTTTATCTCAAGAAAAATGAGCCACGGATGAGTGGATAGAGGATGAAAGTTGTTTCACCTTAAGACTTCTTGACCTCTTCCATTCCCACTTGCATACAGAAAGTTACAAGAAAATGTGTTAATATGCTTTTGGTCAGTTACCTTTTCCACCCAGATTTGATGTTGGTCAAGAATTTTCACGGATATAGTCTTAGCACGCACATAGAGAACAGATTTCAAAGTGTTGACTTTTTCATGTACATAAAATCTTTGTACATACCAAAAAGATTTCCCCGTCTCAATTTCGCTATGTGCACTTTCTTCCCATCTGTTAATTTTGGAATATTTGTTTTCTTATAGTGTCCTGAACAAGCTGTGGGAGGAATCTTTGGTGTATTGAACAGACGTCGTGGTGTTGTGTTTGACAACCAACAGATTGGAAGCACCCCTCAGATCACCGTCAAAGCCCATTTGCCTGTAAACGAGTCTTTTGGTAAGTGATTTTTCTCCATCCCTCCTGATATACGTTTTATACCAAGGTGGCAGTGACCCTAAATGCCCCAGTAGTTTGTATGTCGCCACTGTTTTCTCATTCTCACTAATAGCTGCCAATCAGTTTAAGAAATACAGTGGGTGTCGCATTCAACGAGGAGTCGGCTTTTTACCTCTATATCTCTTTGTAAATGTACGTCAGCCTCAACGAGGTCGCGATGGCCAAATAAAAGCAATTAGCTGCCCCAAAAGCGAAGAATTTTTCTCCAACTGATTCGAAACACAAGGCTTGTCCTCGATTCCTAACACAAAGTAGTTGTATTGCTAGATCTAGTGTGCCTCTTAATATGGGCCCCAAAGCCAAGAGGATGGGTGAGGGTTAGCCTACGGTAGGGGTGGGTGGGAACGTGATGTGGGCTGTGTGAAACTGGATGAACCCTGGAAGGGTAGGACTAGGTGAAGACCTTCATTTTTTGCAATTTTCTTTTCTTCCCCTGATCAGAAGATCCAAGCTCCCGCCTTTACTTTATGTAGTTCTATGTCTAGGTGTGAGAGGGCATGTTTCCACACGAGAAGTGTTCCAGTTATTTTTTAAAATGTTAATACGGAAATGATGGTCAGTACACAGCTCAAACACACGCGCACTGATGCTGTTTGAGATCATTTTCATGATCCGGGGGAACAACTTTTAATTACTGGTATTGGTACATCGTGTTATATAATAACTTGTCTCCTTTCTTTACTTTAGCTTTAGTCACGTTCAACGAGAGGTCAGATCCAACGAGGACAACAAGCCAGTCCCGGCAACCTCGTTAATGCGACACCCACTGCAGTTAATAATTTTTGAGGGTCTGAGTACGGGAGCCCTTTTGTGAGGCGAAAAATAGGAAATCTCTCTTTCTAGTATTGCTGGTCGGGAACTTGCCAGTGCTGAAGAATAGTGATGAATTTTCCAAGTTGAGATTTGTTTATGATAAATCCCATTAGTAAATTGTGGAGCTCGCTATTGGAAAGTTGGCAGCGTCAAGTACACAGGGAATCTCTTGTCAACTTTCAGTTGTGGTGGGTCTTGGTAATAACTAGCATTAGTATAGCACATTTCCCTACTCAGTTGCAAGTTCTGATGCCCTGTTTATATTTGAGTAAAGCGTCTGCAATCTTTTAAGAGATTAAATTTATTTTCGTTTCAGCATTTGTTTCTGCGGACTGATCTCTTGGTTTTTTAATAAATTGATGAATTTTCATTTATTGTAATTTGCAGTTCCAAAAGATTTGTCATTGGGGATGGATGGGAAGTTTTTGGTCCTTGAATAGATGTATATAATTTGTTTTATGGTTTTAGGCTTGCTTCTGTGTGTCTTTTGGGAGTTTGTGTGTCTTGTCTTATCTCCTTTTTCCTCTTTTCAGTGAAAAAGAAAATAAGCTTGCTAATAAACGTATGAAATTGTAGTAAAGTTAGGAAATTTACCATGTTATGAAGAAATTTGTTGTTTTGTCTGCCGGCTAGTGACAGTGTAGGGATTTTTGGCTATTATATGACCTAAATTATCGATGATGCGGTAAATCGTCTTGTCAAACCCAACTTGTGGACCTCTTTTTCAGGCTTCACCGCTGATCTCCGCTCCAACACGGGAGGCCAGGCCTTCCCCCAGTGTGTGTTTGACCACTGGCAGATCCTGCCTGGTGACCCCATGGACCCAGCCACCAAACCAGGTGTTGTGGTCACCGACACCAGGAAGCGCAAGGGCTTGAAAGAGGGCATTCCTCCCCTGGAAAACTTCATGGACAAATTGTAACATCTGGGATTTTCTAACCTTTTTTTTTTCCCTTTTGTCCTGTTTTACCCAATGTCCTCGTCATCACCCCTTAAAATGGTTTTATCGTAGACTGGTATGATTTTTCTTGAAGTCTCTGAACATGCAAGTTCCATTTTTTGTGTCGGCCGACTAAGTAACAGTGGATGTATCCCATGCCGTCGACGTTTTTAAGGTGCTTTGCTCTTATGGTAGTGCAGTAAACGCTTGTTGGAGTCAATGTAAGAACGGACTTCTTGCTTCCTTTTGTCCCCTTTCTAAATTTTGTCCTGAGGACTTGAATGTTTAGAGACTTGACTGACACCACGGTATGTGTTTTTGACCCTGGCAAGTTGATGCTACAGAGAGTTAAATTTGGCTTTTCCCGCGGACTACTGGGGACTAGTAGGACTGTAACTGAAAGCTGTCCATTTGTTTCAAGCTTCATCAGGGTGATAGGTTTTATGATAGTTGTTTCTATTTTTTTATATATCGCACTATCTTCTGGCCTTGACTTGTGAGGGGTTACATACCTCAAGTACTGGATTGATAAATGGAAGACTTAATTGGTTACTTCTTGTACGAAACATCTTTTATCACAAACTGAATAAAGTTCATCACTTTGGATCAGGACTAGTCGGGTATTCATGTCTAATGAATCTACGCTTACTATAGCAAGAAACTCAAGGTAAAGGTTGATTCAAACTTGCTATGTACGATTGTCAATAAAAGACTTAATTTATATCCTTGTTCTCTTCTCTTTGTTCCGGTGCTACAGGGATGGTTGGGACCTATGCTTGTCTGCTTGTTGACACATGGTTGTGTATATCTGAGTGATTGGGCTGTGTGGTTGGAGAGCACCAGGGGTACACCCTTCTTCTTTTCCTATCCCCTCTGTTGCCTCTGTCTTGTGATTTGACTCTTTGAAATGATCCTATGTGACTCGTTCCGGCACTGCGCTCCACACAGTACATCAAGCTGAGCAGCTTGCAGACGTTCACAAAAACCACTTGTCTTTAAAAAATAGCTTTTGTTTTTTTTT